AAGACCTGGAGGTAGATCATGGGGGTGGGGGGGGGTGACCAAATAATAGTAATACTAATAGTAATAATAGTAGTAATTATAGTTATAATAGTATAGTAATAATAGTATTAAGTAAGCCTAGAGCCCGCTTTGAATTCCTGGGGAGGGGAGCGGACGGGACCATTCCTGCCTACAGAGGGCGTCGCGCATGCTGAAATCCAATCCCCTACCCTGGATTTTGAAATCCTGCATAGTAAATCTAAGAGTAATAATAGATAGTAATGATAATTGTAATAATAATAATTGGAATAATTTGCATGTCAAATACCCTCAAGGAGTCCCCCCTTTACAGAAACCCTTCGCCAGAGGCCTCGCAAGCGGAGGAGCTAGAAGAAGACGGAGTGACTGAGCTGCAGCAGCGGTTTAGGGCTTGGGTCGCCAGACAAGCCAGGTGTACTCATAACATCATAGCACGATGCCTGCCAGTTAGGGTTGAGGGTTTGGATGACTTGGGCTTCTTTCACAATAGCCGTTGTGCAATCCTCAGGCGCGGATGGCCAAAAATTCTCTATTGCTGGTGAAGATGGGTGGTTGTGGAAGCAGCTGCAGATCGATCCTTATATACCTACTACATGCCCTATATGTACCCTTAAGGGTCCCTAAAATCCCTCTTGAAATGGTAGTTTCCTAAAATAAGGGGACCCCAATGTAGACCCCAAAATACTATAATCCTGAATATTGGGACCCCCAAAAAGGTACCCTAATTTTGGGAAACGCCCAGATAGCTATAGCGAAGGTCACCTTGGTCAGAGGCGCCCTCAAGGTCCCTTGGCCGAAGCCCAGGGAGTGAACGGATTTGAAGTAGGAACCGGAAGAAGGCAATGGTTGATCTGGGTCTTATCTTAAAGGATTCCTGTAGGGTTTAGGCGGTTTAGGGCATGGTGTTCAGGGTTTAGCGGTACCTTCTCACCATCTTACCATCTCTTGAACTTAGCTCTTCTGAGAAATGTCTCGGGTGCTTTAATCCTACGCGAACCCTGGACTCCATATCGTGTAACCCCCACACCTAAATGAGTCTTCTGATATCTCAGACTCGTGTATTATGTGTCTTCTTATCCTTGTTTCTGCTCTCAGGGAGGTGGGGAAGGTGATTACCTACCGCAATCTTGCAGCAGCAATCCAAAAACCAAAAGCACAGTGCGTCACACAGGAACTAGCAGTTCTGTGCTCCGTTGCTTTGAAGCCTGACAATCGGCCAAAAGAATCTGAAACCTTTGAGCTCCAAATGAGCTATAGTCTAAACTCCATAAAGGAGGTTATATAAGGGATTATACAGGGACCACTATAAGGTTTATCCAGGAAAATAATAGGAGTTTAGACTATGCCTTAGGTACTGCCCCCACTCAGTAACAGTTGGATAATGATTATAGTATGGTTATATATAGCCCTTAAAAGGACCCCTAATATAAACTGTTACTGGGTGGGGGCAGTACCCAAACTATGCCCCGAACATTTTTCCACCGAAAACTGAGCTTTGACATCCCAAGCCCTCGTCACCACCCACCGGCCCAAATCATAAGCCCTAAGTCCCATGCCACCGACATTCCATAGTAGCTTCCACTTTTTTCCATTACTACTGTATAAGAATCCCTATATAACCCATATGTTCCCCTATATATATGCATATATACATCATTGCTATGGAATCCCCTTCTTCCCCTATATCGTCCCTATAGATCTCAGTTGCCAGAGCTGGCGAGGACTGGGTTGACTTCTTGCGGAGCGTCACAGACCATCAGGCTCGCAGTCTTGCTGTAAAAGGCAAGAAACACATTGCTACGTATTCCAAACCCTACCATCCCCAAGGGATCCAAATAGCCCAATGTAAGGTCACATTTACAGACTTTGGGGCCCAATGTAGGTATTATTTGTACACTTGGATCCCTAGGGCTCAAAAATACGAATCTCGACTGTATTCTATCTCTCAAAAAAACAAAACCCAATGGCACACCTATCCGAAACATGGGATTCTCCTGTTCAGGTGGAGCATCCGCATTTCTGGTCGTTAGTCGGAAGAGGTGGCGATAGCGGTTCGCTTGCAATGTGGAAAAGCTTTCACTTCAATCTTCTCGTGGTCAACATGTAGAAGCCCGTGCCTCCGACAGCTCTATCCGCTCAGGATAAACTTTCCCTAGGTATCCAAGTATTCAAAAAATACCTACGTTGGGCCTGAAACTCTGCAAATATTACCTACATTGGGCCATGTGGATCCTTAGCATTTCTTTTGCATCCAAAATCGTAATGCCTTTTCTTGGGAAAACATGAAGTGTGATTAGCCGGAGTGGCGAGGCCCCAAACTTATGGAGGTGAGCATCAACAGGATGGTCACTGAGACTGTAAGACTACAGCATGCAATTACAACAGACAGTAGTCGCCAAGGGTCCAATTGCCTAAATTGGATGTAGCTTGAGGTACATAAGGTCCAAGTTTTGCTTTCTTCAGGTGCTTGGACCCTTGTGGAGTGTGCAACGGTGGAACCCCCGCCCTCAACAAGTTCTCAACAGTCACGACATTGTATCCGGTCTGTGTGGGGGAGGATATTCAGGGCCCGTTTTTTGGAGCTTTTGTGACTTTGATTTCTTCTGCTAGTTTTGCGACAACGCTTGATCCAGGTTATGACTACATCCAGCGCAATGTTTGGATGACCAACGATGGGTTCAGAGATTTCATGTGCCTGGACGTCAATTGATTTTATTTGGGGGTTTCCTTGTTAAAGCTGCACATTAGGAAAAAGGGTTCATATTATGTAGGGGTTACTGAGCAACCTAGATTGAGATGTCTCCAACAAGCCTATTTGGTTGTGTGGCATTGTGCCCAGGACTGCCAGGTACTTTCAACACCCTTGGCTCAAGGAATTTGCCCTCCATTGCAATAAGGTTTAGTTGTAAATACACGCAGTGTATAGGGTTTTAGGGTTTAGGGTTTGAGGTGAAGCTATAGTTTTTCTGTAGCAGGTTTGGGAAGGAGAGGGTAAGGATTCCTGAGTGCAGGTATGGACATGTCCGGAACTGGGGCCAACTGCAAGAGACGGTCCCTCTGTTTCCCCCAACTAATATCATCTTTGTTTAAGACTCTTAAGAAGTTCTTGATGGAGGCCCCGGTATTGCCGCACTCTTGATGGTAAAGCTTCTGCAAGACCCTTAAGCCTGGGTACTATGGTAGTGTAGAGTAGTATTGAAATTTAGTATCCGCTGTCTGGTTCATGAGCCCTCAACCCCAGCAGACCGAATCCAGATACTTCCTAGTTGTGACTATCGTAGTTCAGATTTCCGCAGTCACGTTCTTATGCCTGCACGCGACGTCCATGACGGCAGGGAGATCTCCCCGAATACGCTCTAGAAAACGACATGTAGTCACGTAGTCGATAGGGGAACTGTTCCTTCTCTGCCTGATCTGAAAGGTCACGCCCTCAGCTGGGTTGCTGTACCCCAGTTCTTCACTTCGAACCATATGCGTTGAATGCATGAGATCACTGGCCAATGGGCGCTTTACGGCCTACTTTATGCCAGGTTCAAGTTACCCAAAATCTCACCTGTTCGGCAACACGAGTAGCTTGTCCGAGGGAGAGACCATAGTGTGACATAAGCCTGTGGAATGCAGGTACTACTCGCCACTGACGCACATCATTGCTCAACTGGCAAAGACGGAAGAGGTTCGACCAACCACCGACGTGTTGATTGTCAATCCGAATGAGCCCTGTCCACAATGAGCCCTAGATGCTTTGTCATCCGTTGATGGGGGTGCAGTGGAACCCATGAAGAGGCCTATACAGCTGGGCCCTCCTATGTAGTTCCTTTTGGGGTAGTATATTACTACCCCTTACCAAACAAATATGACATTCCCAAAAGGGAACTACATAGGAGCCCTTG